GAGAGAATCATTGACCTGTGACCTCCTGCTGCATAGGTCGATGCTCAACCACTGAGCCTTGCCAGCTGGACGAAATGGGCCCACCTTTTACAGAGCTTTCCCATAAGCCCTACCCAGCAACTTCTGCTTATATCTCACTGGCCTGGGTCACGTGGCCATTCCTAGCTGCAAAGGAGTCTAAGAAATGTAATCTGTGAATCTGGGCACATTGCCATCCTAGACTCGGTGAGGATTCTGAAGCAAGAAAAAAGGGGAGAAGGGCTTCGCGAGGTCTATTGTCAGTCTCTGCTCTTAACTTTGGTTTCTAGGCACAGTGACAAGCTCAGCAGCCTCTCACCAGTAATTTACCAGAAGAAGCCGGACGAATCTCCCAGGCAGCAATAAAATTTGTTTGTGCAAATTTCCCTAGTGAATTCCCCTAAGGGGCTTATTTCTGCCTGCTGGTAGAGTCTTTCAACCAGGATCAAGTTTTTAGACTTTATCCCTGGCAGTAAATAAACTAAATCAGATATCAAGCAGTTGAAAAGCAAGATTTTTAGGAGGCATATGTCCCTATTCCCTTCCCAACCTCATCTCCCATTCCCCTGGAATCCACACTAGGCCAGTGTAGTAGCCAGTCATCCACGTAGCAAGAGTTCCGTTAAATATCTCCTCTCCACACTAGTTACACAGCCTAAAATGCCACACGATTGGGCCCTAATTGCTTTGGGTCAGGCATTACTCTACCAAGGCACCTCTTAATATGCCAGTCCCCTAGGGCAGAGATAAAAGAGATTAAATCTCTACCACCTTAGTGTTGTCTTAGTTCACCAGCCCTCTCCCACTCTGAAATTCCTGAGCAGCGTTGGCCACTGAAACATGTGAGGTGGAAAGAGGCCAGGGCTGCAGAGAGAGAGAGACACAGACTGTCTGGAAAGAAGTGGGGCACCCAGCTGGCTCACCTCCTTGACTGTAAAGCCACAGTCACAACTGGCTGGAGATAGTAATAAACACTGCTGGTAAGTTTGGGTCCAGTAGATGGCAACCCCGTGACCTTCAAGTTGACTTCTCCTCCCTTTCTCTCCCCACCCACACTTCTCAACCTGAAGACCAAAAATCTGGCTTTCCCGTAATTTGCTTTGACATTAACTCAGGATATAACACTTCGAGCAAGAGATAAACACCAAGGACAGAAGGTGAGGAAACAAACATTCCCCAGGAGCATTCATCTCAAAGCAACAGATAAGGATGACGCTGTCATGTACCATTTCTTGCCACACGCCGCCTGGGCTTTCCAGGGAGACAGCGTTGACCTAGATCAGGGTTGCAGACTGGCAGACCTCTGCAGTGCCACCCTCAGATTGGGCCAAAGAGTTTCCTGTTCTAGACCCCCATGTTACAGGAGCTGGCAGTGGTCCTCCTCCTACTATACCCTGTCCCATGGGGCAAGGAGTCCTTAGAACCAGGGGTGCATGCCCACCCAAAGCCTCACACATCCAGGACACCAGAAACCCCTGCCCAAGTGGCCCTGAGCTGGCTTCCAGGAACTGTAGCCCTCTTTCTCCTTTTCTGAGGTAGACCAGACCACTGGTATGTGTACCCATGGACCCAAGGGGTGGCCCAGGGATGGCTGACTATGTGGGAGGGTGTGCATGAACCCCCGTCTTGCAGGCTGGTATGTTTACCAATGTAAACATGAGCAGGAACCAGGGGAGGGACAAGAAGAGGACAGGCTGAAGTCTGGGGCTATTTCTGTCTGTGCTAATACAACATTCTGAAGCATGGAAGAATTCTAAATTCAAACCTTGTCTTCCAGGTTGTTATGAATATACTAGAAGCCCAGTGCATGAAATTTGTGCACGGGTAGGGTTCCTAGGCCTGGCCAGATATCAGGGCTAATTGGGGCCTTCCGGTTGCCGGCCAGGGCCTTCCTTCGTTCTGTGCCAGGCCCTGGTGGTCAGCACACGTCATAGTGAGCAATCAGACTCCTGGTCTCCCAGTCGAACTCCCGAGGGGACACTTTGCATATTAGCCTTTTATATATATAGATATCTTTCAAGGTAGCAGAAAATAGTATATTTTGTTTAAAATATTTAATACATTTTATAAGCTTCATTTATAATGTGTAAACATTTAGACATATGGTATTTGGCCTTTGTTTGTATTCTTGCCCCAGTTCCTGCAAATTTTAGGGGTAAGCCTACTCTACAAATATATTTTGTTTGGTTTGCAGAGTGTTTTAGAAATTGGAGGATTTCATGTAGAAATTCTAATTTGGGCTTTTCTTGACAAATGGAAGATATGGTTACACTGGGACCGGGCCTGAATTCCACATGGCATAGAGGGACAGCAGCCTGCTTTAGACAGATAACTGCTCACTCCTCAGTTTGCCACACTTCCCATCACTCCCAATTGTCCTATGACTAGAGCCTCATGTATTTACAGTGCCTGCCCGGGCCCTGGAGACATTTGAGTGTAAGTCAATGGACCATCAGCCTGAGGGAGCTATTCCTGTCATGAGTAGAAGGCTGGGACAGAACCTCGTTGGTGGGACATCCACGGCCAAAGCTCTGGATGTTGAAATCTATTCATAACTGCCCCTCCAGTTCCCCTGTGTGGAGATGAAATCAGCATTAGCACTTACCCGAGGCTCAGCCTTCTGCTGGCTCTACCAAGCTGATCAGAAAGGAGAAGTCGAACTGCATGGTGTCGTTAGAAAGTGGAGAATGAAAGGGGAAGAGAAGTCCTTGCTGAGAGATGGGAACAGCACACGTGAGCCCTGCATTTCTAGTTCTGGCCCTGAATGTCATTCAGAAGATGCTCAGCTTAGGTCATGTGTCTTCTGTGGGGGTTTCTGGGGAAAATCACAGTGCTAGAGCAGGGGTGGGGAGAAAAATCTCTGATTGGAAGCAAGCCTGCCCCAGCCTCCCAAGAGAGGCCAGGCCCTGGCAGAGCTAGCTGTAGAGAAAGCAGGGCCTAAAGAATGTGAAAAACAAACAAAAACAAATTCTTTTGGGTGCATGCAACATCTGAAGTGACCACTGGCTTCTTTGATCTGCATATGAACACAGGGAAAGAGCCACCTAGAGCATTAGCTACTGAAACCGGGCCCTGGAGGAAATGGATGGGAGAGATCCTGCTGGTCACAGCCCCTCATCACACACCCTAGTCTACACTGAGTCCATTAACGGGGAGGACTCCATTTACCAAGTTTTGTTGGGAGACCAATGGCTAAAATGCCAGATTCTGCATTGGAAGCAATGCTGATACTCGGGGAAGGTCTTCTGGGCTGCCTCCCACAGGCTCTGAGCCCAGTTCCCCCACACTGGGCATCCATGGGCACCAGCTTCGGGGATGAGGGGCACAACAGTGGCAATGTGCCCTCAAAGGTCCTTGAATTGGACTCCTCCCATACATAGGCCACAAGCAGGTCAACTTTTGCAGGCCTCTGCAGAGTTTAGTAATAATCACACTAGCCCAGCGATTTTCAACCTCTTTCATCTCATAAACTAATTACTAAAAGTCTGTGGCACAACAAAAAACATATATTTTGCCTATCTGACAAAAAACAAACAAACCCACCAGGTATAGTTTTCATGCATTCACACCAGACGGCTACTGTTGCATTGGCTGTTGTCATTTTTTATTTGACGATCTAAGGGAAAACAGGTCCGTGCCCCTGACTAAAATAGTCAGGTATTGCATGTTTTGAAAATTCTCATGGCACACCGGTTGAAAATCACTCCACTAGCTTAATGCAGGCATACTTCCATGAGGCAGGGAGACTTGGGTAGGAGAGGGTCTAGAGTTGAGACCTTATCTCAAACCAACCAGAACTGTTGACCCACAGGTTGAGGAGGTTCTGGCACAGGGAACCCGCCCTGCTTCCCTCTTTTCCATCTGGTCACCACGTCCCCGACGGCTGCCGACAGGGAGGGGTTGAGGAGGTTCTGGCACAGGGAACCCGCCCTGCTCCCCAGGGAACCTGCCCTGCTTCCCTCTTTTCCATCTGGTCACCATGTCCCCGACGGCTGCTGGCAGGGAGGCAGCGGGCAGTGGCCGTCCCTTTGAAGGACCAAGGGATGAGACAGAGGGTAGCTGCTGAAGGGCCTGAATCAGGTGCCTCTCATGGCCATTCCTGTCGGTTTTGTCCCCAGCTGGCTCAGCAGGGGCTGTGTGTGGGGGCCCTGCCATTGCTCTCGGGCAGGGGTGTGGAGCATGCAGGCCAGCGGGCACTTGGCCTGGGGGTTCTCTGAGGAGCTGGGGGACACCGGAGTAGGGGACCGGAGCACACTGGTGTCAGGCTCAGCCAATACTGTGAATCTGAAGTCCTGAAGGAGACCCTGTGTTACTCTGCAACTGTGCTCAAAGCGGGGGCCTGCGGAGCCTCGTGGACACAGGCCCACATGTGCTCTATCACAGCTCCCGGGGGAGGTCTTCAGCAGGACATGTGGACCCGTCGGCAGGAACGTGCCTGTGACCTAAGCCACATGTTGCCCCATGAGGGCATGAGGAAAGCACTGCCTTACGTGAGGGGTTGCCCTTGTGTTACTAGGGACGGGCACCATCCTGGCATGCCGCACCGGCAGGGCTGGCTGCTGGACGAAGCTGAGGAAGTGTCATTGTGTGGGTGGGACGTGGGAGCATCAACCGGAACGATGGTTGTGGTGAATGGCATCTTGTCCTGGTCCTTCTCCATGACTAGAGAATGACTCACTGACAATCTGGGAAGCGAGGGGCCATGAGGAATGGAAGGGGAGGTCCTGGTGAGGTGATTTGGGGAGGGAAATCAAGAAGATGGCTTGAGGGAGGATTGAAGAGTCTTTGAAAACCCCAGCTCACCAAGTAGATTAACAAACGATGGAAAAGGAGAGATATTAGCAGGGTCTCCAGAGCTTTAAGGGCTCCTAAGGCCAAGAACAAAAAAAGGCCCCAGCCCCATAGAGTTTAAGGTTTCCAGGGAAACGGCCTTGCCAAACGGGTTTCTTTCTAAGACATTTATTTAGAAAAATAACCTTTCCCTGCGTCCTCTCTTTCGTGCTGCAGCTTTTGTGAGGTACACCTGGTACAACTCTGGGTTGGGCCTCCCACCCGCATGGGGTCCAGCACGTGCCCAGGGGCTGCCAGCCCGCTGGGAGGCCTCGCCCACTTCTTACTCAGTCCAGTGTTTAGTCCTTGTCAAGGCCCCTGTCTCCGCCTCTCCAGGTGGAGAGAGGCCTCTGGGGGACGAGGGCCACCTGGCCACAGTCTGTGTGCCCCTCCTGAGGCCTGCGGAGCAGCCGGGGACTGGGGGTGTCGGCTCTGCTCTCCCCCATCTCTGGAAAAGCTCAGGGCTGGAAGCGCGGGGAGCTGACGTGAGGCTGGTGGAAGGCGTGGGCACTGTACACCACCTCGGGGGGCGAGGGCGCACTGGCCGCCAGCACCGAGCACAGGGGCTCGTGGCTGCTGAGCACCGACGTGAAGTACTTCATCTCCTCTGTGAGCTGCTTGATCTCCTTGCGCAGAGCCGCGTTCTGTTTCTCCAGGTCTTCACTCTCCTGTGAGGGGGAGGGATCAGCATTGGAGATTAATGTCGGGACAGGCCCCAAGATCTGAGGGGTGGGGTGGGGTGGGAGCAGGAGGAGCCAGATTAGATTGACAGGCACATCTATGGAGCAGGGCATCGGGGAATTTGCACATGTGAGCGTGTGCACATGTGCGCATATGTTTGTAGCACTGTATGTGTGTATCTGTATAAGCAGGTGTATATACGTGCATGTGTGTGCACAGATATTAGGTTGAACCACATGAAATTGCTGATAATTGTCTGTTTCGACCTATAAGAATGGCGGTTTCATATGGTTCCAACCAAATAGAGGTGTATGTGTGGATGCACATGTGCATTTGGGTGTGATGTGCTCCTTTGTGCCTGTATGTACATGGGTCTCTATGAGTGTGCATAGGGGTTGAGAGTGGCAAGTGTATGTCAAAGGAAACCAGCTGGCAGGCCAGAGCCTGAAAAAATGAAAAAGAGTTTATGAGACCATCTGATACTGATTTCACTCTTTTCCATTCTCTGTTATACTATACTAGAGGCCCGGTGCACGAAATTTATGCAAGAGTAGGCCTTCCTTCCCCTGGCTGCTGGCACTGGCTTCCCTCTGGCACCCAGGACCCGGGCTTCCCTCACAGCCCCGGCTTCATCCGGAAGGTCATCCAGAAGGATGTCTGGTCTAATTAGCATATTATGCTTTTATTATATAGGATATTTTCCAAGAGGTCCCAGTATTTGCATTTAGTCTTATGAATGGAATCCCTGGTGAATTGTCTGTGTCACCCAGGTTATTAAATGGTCAATCTTCACCAGTGTTTGTTTTTGCTCAGTTCTGCTCACCCAAGAGCCTGTTACACAGCGTTCTGGGTGTGTCCCAAGCCCCTGTGGTTCCTTTCTTCCAGGAACACCTTTCCCCTGTTGCTCAGATGAACCATCAGATACGTGCTGATCAGGAAAACTCAGGGTAAGGAGTGCTGATTACTGATCACATTATTAATTAATCAACAGTGAGACCCTGGAATTAGCTCTTGCTGCACAACAATCCCACCTTCAGAAATCTCAGGGGATTTTCATTTCCAATGTGTTTTTTTACGGTTCACAAGCCTTGACTCAGTGAAACAGGCCTTTTCCACTAAGCACTGGTGCCCACAGAGGAAGGGGAAATGGCACCGAAGATGCAAATAAATTGTAATTTCAGTTCAAAAAGCAAACTAATATTTGGAGTGAGCCCCTGTTGTGCTAGTTTTGTGTGATTTAGGTCAGCATTTTCCAACCCTACCATCTCATTAGAATTAATTAGAGGGCTTGTTACAAAGATAGTTTCAGGTGCTTCCTGGAAATCTAGAGGTTCAAACTCAGTGCGTTTGGGACTTGAGGTGAATTCTGGGAATCTGAATTTTTTAAAAAGTCATTTTTTTTAAAAAAATGTATTGATTTGAGAGAGAGAAAGAAAGAGAGAGAGAGAGAGAGAGAGAGAGAGAGAGAGAAAGAGAGAAAGACATAGTTTTGTTGTTCTACTTGTTTTTACTACCATTTACTGATTCTTGTATGTGCCCTAACCAGGGATCAAATCTGCAAATTTGGCGTATTGGGAAGACTCTCCAAACAACTGAGCTAGGAATCTAGAGTTTTTAACAAGTGCCCCACGTCAGTGGTCCGCAAACAGCGGCCTGTGAGCCATATGTGGCTCTTTGGCCCCTTGAGTGTGGCTCTTCCACAAATACCACGTGCGGGCATGCACATACAGTGTGATTGAAACTTCATGGCCCATGCGCAGAAGTCGGTTTTCAGCCTGGGCGAGTCTATTTTGAAGAAGTGGCGTTAGAAGAAGTGGGGGGTGTCAGTCGGTCGGGCGAAGGGAGACGTGGGGGCCGCAGGATACGCGGGGTCGACCTCAGCGGATGTACCTCAATCAGATTGAGGACGCTTTTAGCAAAGGCCAGCTTAGGAGTACCCTAATTAAGTTAATAACAGGGTGCCTACCTGTAGAGTTTAAGTTTAAAAAATTTGGCTCTCAAAAGAAATTTCAATCGTTGTACTGTTGATATTTGGCTCTGTTGACTAATCAGTTTGCCGACCACTGCCCTAGGTCATTCTAACAATCAAAGTTTGAAAATACTAGTTAAATATGATATTAAATTTGTTTTAATTATTCAAGTGAAATTTAAATATGATATTAAATTGTTTTAATTATACATAGTACATATGAACTCCAATGTTTGTTGATTGATTGGCTGATGATATCAACTGCTGGACTAGAAGTTAACTCAAAATAATGATGGGCAGTGAGGAGAGCTAACATAACTTGACACTGAAAGTTTGCCTTAAATAATCCACTTGGAGCATGAGCTGCAGGCTGCTGGACGAGCTAGTTAGATTGCCAACTGCCCTCACACTGCACCCGGCACCTGCCATTCATAAAGGGCCAGACGTGATCATGCAGGGCTTCAGCCTGGCATTTCCGGTATGTGGCTCTGAGCTAGAAAATGTGCCTAGGTAAGTACAAAGGAAACCCCCATCTCTAAAACGGGGTGTGTGGGGGGGGTGGTGGGATGCCAAGAGTCAGAGCCACTGGCTGCTGCTTCTGCAAGGTGTGGCTTGATTACCATTTTAGTTGTTTCCGGGCACATCCCAGAGGCAGGGCATCCCCTCTTTACCGAAAGGGAAGATAAAACACTACTTAGAGCTGGAGGGGTTGGGGGTGTTGGTAAGACGGGAACTGGGGGCCTGGAGTGCCGGTCCCTTCCTCTAGCCCTTTTCCTCGCCCCCTCTGAGAGTTTCCACTGGTGACAACACTTACTGTAAATTCTGTGCTCCGAAGAGCCTGGGCAAACCCCGAGGCGGCAGGGAGGGGCAGGGTAGGCGGCGCAGGGACCCACTGCAGCGCTCTGACCTTCTCCCCGCCTAGAGGCAGGCCCAGCTTTCCGGAAGTAACAGCAGGCTCTTCTGAGCTCTGTCTGAACCAGCTCGGCTGAGCTCCCTCCAGCTTTCTCATCTCCCTCTCCCTGCCCCACTGCAGACCCCAGAGCCCTGGG